TTATACTTCTATTTTTCATTCATTTATTGAACAAAGTGATCTGATATTAAATGTCTTTGTTGGCAAAAGTATTTGAACCTCTACTTACAGTAACTGGTTTGACCCCCTTGAGAAGCAAAGACTTCAACCACATGGTTCACTCCTCCTTCCAAAACTGCATAGCAGACCTCTGTTATGTTGGTGTGCTTTCCTGCATGAATGCCAAGTCTTAGGTCCTGTCACAGCATTTAAATGTCTAAGTTCTTGGGCTTCAACCATTTTTGTTGACTAACCGGTATGCATAGGCTCAGTTCACAGATGAATGGCCTAAAGTTCTCCTGAAGAATTTTTTGACACAGTACAGAATTCATAACTGCATCAAATGACGGCAAGCTGCCCTGGTCCAATATCAGCAAAACAAACCATGATACGTCTTGTGACGTCAGGGGCAGGTGGGATTTGGAGTAAAAGCCACAGTAGCCTGAGTAAACAGAGCTACGAAGGCGTTTTGGGGCCGCTGTTAATAAAAATAAAAATGGAAGACTTTGAGAATAAAGTCGTAATATTTCGAGATTAAAGACGTAAAGTTACGAGAATAAAAGCGATATTTTGAGGATTAAGTGCTAACTGTAGGGGGCTGCCATAACGCGTAGGGGTCTCGGTTGCTGTACTGGCGACTGCGAAGACGCTGAGCATCCCAGAGTTCCACTCACTCCTGTCTCTTTGTGGATCGATCATTTTGATCATCATTCTCATTGTCTGTGAAACGTCATGCCCTCTTTGAATGGCGCGGAGATGTAGACCCCGATAGCTGCGTAGATGATCCTGTCTGTGGTTCTCCTTCAACAAAACGGACAGACAGTTTCCTCGGAGTCCGTCTGGCTCTTTATTCTAAATAAACACAGTTTGTGTGCAGGAGAGACAGGGAGACTGAGTATTTCTTTATGGGTGAAATCGATATGAAAGTATAAATCCACCAACTCCTCAATGTCCCTCATTTAACAGAAGGAGGTGCTGCCTTCCCTTTTACAGACACTTTGGCCATAATATTGCGACCTTTCCTGGTATTAATGCCACTGTAATGTCGTAATTCTACGGTATTATCATCGAAATATTATTACTTTCTTCTCAAAATATCACGATTTTACTCAAGAAAATATGACTTTTTCTCGAAATATTGCGACTTTTTCTCGAAATATTGCGACTTTTTCTCGATATATTACGACTTTATTCTCGAAGTCTACTATTTTTATTTTTATTAACAGTGGCCCTAAAACGCTGCCGTACTGAACAGCGCGAAAAAAGTGGGAAAGATTAATAAGGTCGAGATCAACGAGCACTTTCATTGCAGATTATGATGTCGGTAAGTTTACTGTTACATTAACATTTTAGTACGACCTTAAAACTTGTGGAAAATAAGCACATGGTTGCTTGATGGTCAGCAATACTCAACCAAATTTATTGTGCAAGCTGGCAGCAACACGGTAACCCCTGCTGAGTAAAGACAATTAGGATTAAAATCTAATGGTTTTTGCCTCCTAATGGTTACCATTAGAGACCACTAGTTTCCAAGTAGAATTAGAAATGTATCTGGAACCAGTCACTAAGTCACTTGGTAAACAATTAGGATCCTTTACACTATCAACCCATCAACAAAAGCCAAAATGCATTACAAACCCCCAAGAACCAACAGAAACTCTTAGTGGTTCCTATGTTTTGTTCTCATTAGGGATGTCAATATTATAATCCATTATTACACATTAATTTAAATAATGGCTGGTATGGAGCAGATTGCGTAGTACTGCTGAAAACACTGCTGATTGCTAGAGTTATGATAGGCATACAGACAGCAAGTTAAAGTTGGGGATCACAAAACCGCAAGACAGAACTCTATACAAATAACCAGAAGCTATACATTACATATACATCTTGGTATATGGGTTCTTGGATTCCACCTCTGGTTTGTTCCCCTATTAAACCTATTCTGTTTTAGAGAGGCAGAGTCTCTCAGCTGCAAAGATGGGCAGAGGTTCACCAATCTGAAAAACTGCTTCAAAACATTGTGAAGCAATTTCAAAAAAATGTTGCTTAACGTAAAAGTGAAGACTTTGGATACCATCAATGCACTATCAATGCTGAACAGTATATAGAGGTTTTAGAACAACATATACTCCCATCCAGACAACATCTCTTTCAGGAAAGGCCTTGCATATTTCAGCAAGACAATGCTAAACCACATACTGCATCCATCACAACAGCATAGCTTCACTGAAGAAGAGTCCAGGTGCTAAACTGGCTAGAATCTAGAATACTACATCAGACAAGAATAGGACAATATTCCTCTCCCAAAACTCCAGCAATTGGTCTCCTCACTTCCCAGACATTTACAGACTGTTGTTAAAAGAAGAGGTGATGCTACACAATGGTAGACATGGCACTGTCCCTTGCTGCCTTCAAGTTCTAAATGAGTTAATGTTTTTCATGAAACGGTAAAATGTCTCACTTTCAATGTCTGATATGTGCTCTCTATTCTGTTGTGAATAAAATGTGGGTCCATGAGATTTGCAAATAATTGCATTCTGTTTTTATTTACATTTATTTACATTTTACACAGCACCCAACGTTTTTGGAATTGGAATTTTGGGTTGTAATATTGCATCCCTGTGTTTAATACATGAATGAGAAAATACATAATTGCCAATGTTGTTTTATGTGGAGTTCTCTGTATGTATTGATAGGACTTAAATGAAGATCTGATTTCACTTTGGGATGAACCTCTGCAGAAATCTGCATAGTGCTACAGGGTTCACAAACTTTTAAGCAGTACTAAACTTTAAACTCTTTAAACAATCTGGATGATTACAGATATAGATGTGATCACTTTTAGAATCATTTTTAAGACAACAACAAAGGAACTGGTAAAGAAGTTGGAGCATTTAGGTACCAAAGTGTCTATATCCACCATTAAAAGAGTCCATCACCATGGCCTGAAAGGCTGTCACACAAAGACATTATTTTACTCCATAAAAATCATACTTTTAAATTCAAACCCAATAAATGATCAATATGAATGAGGTGTTTCCCAAAACGTCAAGAACTCTAATAGCAGGGGTGAAAAAAAGTGCAGAGTTAAAAAGTTATCTTTATAGTCTTATGCAAAAGTTTGAACATGCCTAGTCAAATGACATGTTTTGTTGATTTTCTAAGTGAAGTTATCACATACTTTGCTGGGAACACATTAAATATGACACTTTTCTGGAAATTTTAGTGCATAAGTTCTGTTTATTTTATGAGTTCAACATATTGGGAAGACAAAATATTAAATAAATTTGTGTCATAACTTTTACACTGGCCTAATTTTATGTTCCCCCTCCCCCCCCAATATGTTAAAGTTAGCAAATAAACAGTTACTCAGATATTATTATCACCTAATAGCTTAGTTAAATGTAAGATGTTACATAAGATATTATGCAAACAGTTCAACAGTGAACATGAACACTAATATTGATGTCTGGTGTCTATATGAACTAATAAAAAAGGATCAGAGAGAAAAGTGCAAAAGAGTGCATGCTGATCTATTTTGCACTTTGTAGTTTTAGACTTCAAAACAGCTGCTCTGCTTAATTGCTCTTCATAGTAATTTATTTTTTATGAAAACCCTTATAACAATATGAGGTGGGTCTTCCTAAATATGCTAATTAATATCTGGTTTAAATCTGTGTAGATAGTGCATGGAAATTAATTAAAATATTGCAGCAAATAGTGCAACGGAAGCCTGTGAGTGGGTTATTTAACATATTTTATTTTTTATCCCATTTTTTTATTAACTGGAGCAAAAGAAACTCAACACTAAACACTGCAATGAAGCAAAGAAGCGGAAATTATATTTAGAAATATTAACAGTGCATTTAAGCAGGTGTATGAATAATTTGGCAGGGTATGAATAATTTAGCGTGGAGAGAAACGAAACTGGGTCTTAATGTTTATTTATTAGTTTACAATCTTTAGTTTTACTCTCCTTAATATGGACGGCAAAACGTGCCAATAAAGTAAATAAATAAACCCGACACAGTCTTCGGTTCACCATATTATTTTTTTCGGCTTTTACATCCATTTTAGCAACCTGGGCTACATTCAACCCCGACAAAACGTAGCAAAACGTTTATTTAAACAGAAACGGTGGTGCGTTGAACACTGTTGTATTACGGAAGCATTGCAACTATGGCAGCTGAGAAGGCCATTCTTGGCATCATTCTAGTGTATTCTATTTTTAAAAACCTTTGAACTAAAATATTTGTGACAAACCTGTCTTCTAATGTATTCAGGTGTTGTGTACACCAAGCTGCAGCAGTTGCATTTGTAGAGGACTCTATTAGAACCCATTGTGTGCGCTGCCTTTTTAATATGGGAGGTATATACACATCCCTGCTGGTTGGGTAACACCTCTGACACACCCATCAAACGAGAGAAAACATATCTCAAAGGCCATTTCACACCGTTTCTACAAAACATGTTGTTCAACCCGGAAGCCTTAGCAAACGGTGCACAACGTTTTGAGATTGAATGTACCCCTGTTATGTTTTATAGCCTTGCAAGCCAACCTCGACCAATAGTTTGTTAGAATTACGTTACTGTTACTAACCTCATTGGCACGGACAGGAGGAAGAAATACATAAATAAATAAATGGTGAAATAAAAAAAAAATCTGAATAAATAGAATGTGAATGTATTTATTACAGTTATTTTATTTATATTATTTATTACTGTTCCTACTAATATGTGTATATTTACTATTTATGTCTCATGATTATTTAATTATTAATTTTGCTGTTCTGCTGCTCATTTATGTATGAATTTGTTTCCGTTTTATATGTTAGTTGACTAATTAATTAATGGTCCAAATGTATTTTTTTGAAACTGCGCAAGTCCTGCGCAGCGTTGGCGCGCGCACGGTCTTTGGAACGATGACGTAAATTTCGCGGGCGTTTTTGCTGCTTCCTCTCATGCGTGCTGCTGGAAAGACGCAAATCAAGTCTAAAACTACAAGGACTGAAGGTTGTTGCAGTTTTTCTTGGCGGATAAAAGGGATGAATAAAGAAGAAAACCAAGAAACCCCTTCGTGTAACGGGTGAGTTAACCTAATGAAGTTTTCTTGGTGCGGGCTGCAGAAAACTGTAGAGACGCTTTTACTAGACACAGCTCACACTTTTAATAAAATGTTACATTGAAATAGTGAACAGTAAGAGCTTAGCTACTAGGAAAGCTATATGTGAGTTCTGTGTTGATAATACAGCTAACGCTACAGCGTGTACTACTAACAGAAATATACCACATCAGAATTAACGTAGTAAGTTAGCTAACTAAATTTCAAAAATAAGAAATTTCTTTAACAAAGCAAGAATGCGACTACCTGTGTGCTGGGGCAATGTCTACGTATTATTTGGTAGTAACATAAGTAGATTGTGAATTATAAGGTTTCTCTGCAAGACCATTAAACGCCTTGAATGTGGGTTATTGTAAGCGTAGGGTGAAATGATGGCCTTCACAACATTTGGATGTTACCCATAATCGTTTTGTGCTGCAGGACCCTATTCACTTCTTGAACTAACGTGAGCGCCATCTAGCGGAAATTAAAACTCAAAGAAATTCAGAGAATGCTCTGCACGGACTCTATTTATTTTACTTGTTTTTCTTGTATTTTTTTGTTTGTGTAGTTATATCTAATACAAACAGTCATTATTCATGTTACTCGAGCTTTTTCCAACCTCTCTTTATGTGTTAGAATCAAACAGACATAAAGTTTTTCTTACTTTGCCTTAAAGATTGATATATGAAAATGACCCCTGTATTGGCTGTTCTGCATTAATTGACTGTCCTGTATTGGGCTTCACTCTAGAAGCAGAAGTTGAAACACTCCATTTGACTTTAGCTAAACTGCTGTAAACTGAATAGGTGGATCTATGCAGATGTGTTTGTCTTTTTGCATTTTGGTGTCTCTACACGGACTGTATAGACTGTGTGGTGAATGGTACATTTTGGAATTTTAACAATGATTACTTACATTGCAGTCTTACTTAACTAGTCAGTGTTGATTCACAGTCTGCCGTTCAGTTTCTGTCTGTTATGCACACCACAAGAGGAACCTAATTAATGTAGCGGGGAGTCCATGTATTAGTCGTATTTTAATTAAAGATTGTCGGTGTAAGGAATTAAAGGTATTGAAGTGTTAAAGGGTGAGATGTAGATCTATTACATGATCACACAAACGCACACACGTGTTTTAGGGAGATAACACTCGTCTGTGTGTTCTACAGTTCACTGTAGTGGTGAGAGCAGAGGCTTTCTCCACTCTCAAAGATTATTAATATCTTTCTCTTTTTGCTTTCGCTCTCTCAAACTTTTCTTTCTTTCTTTCTTTCGTCCCTGTTTGTTCCCCTCTCTCTCTCTCTCTCTCTCTCTCTCTCTCTCTCTCTCTCTCTCTCTGGAACACATGGCTTTCTGACAGTTGTATTTTGTTCTGCTATACACTCAGTGGAGGTTAGAGATGTTTGAGTGACAGCTATTTCTGAATGTTCTCCATCTAATAATGACTGCTTTACCTGACCTCTCTGCCTGCAGGAAGCACAGTGAGGGCCAGATGAAGAAGAGACAGGACTACCTGGAGTGGCCTGAATATTTTATGGCCGTTGCCTTCCTGTCTGCTCAAAGAAGCAAAGATCCGAGCTCTCAGGTACCAGAGCTGGCTGTGAAAGCCTAGCCTCCCAGGTCCATCACTGTTTTCCTTTCTCATCCTTTTCTGTTCTGACTGCTAACTGACACACTGTGCAGGATCAGTGTGTGTAAGATATCTTGGCACAGATGGCTGGGGAACTGTATCACAGATTTTGAGATTTTGCATTCTTCCAAAAAATAAAAGCCATAGTTTGGACATAAATCAAAGGTACACAACTTAACCCCTTCCTCTAAATACACTTCAGTTGTAGAACTTTTGTGTTTTTTAGTTTTTTTTTAGGATATTCTTTTGACCTGCATTCAATATTTGATGTTCTATCTTATTGTTGTAAATATACGCTATTTCCAAATATTTTGCCTGCAGTGGAGCATGTATACCGCCGTGTTACATCACTGTTCCTTTTAACGGCACTTAATAAATGTTAGGGCACTAATGACACCAATTGATCCACTTTTGAAAACAGAATTTTTTTATACAGGTCTTCAGCTGTGCGACCATATAGGCTCCTCGTTTTCTTATTTTGCATTTAATAACAGACCACGCGTTTTCAGTAGGAGACAGGCCGGACAGTCTAGCACCTGCGCACTCCGATTACGCAGACATGCTGTTGTAACCTGCAGAATGTGGACTGCCGTTGTCATGTTGGCCAACCCTTGGACAAAAAGATGGCATCTAAAAGGCAGAGTGGTACCTTCTTTGACCCAGAGACTGTGACGTCCATTGTTTCCATCAACAGTCTAAAAGGTTGACTCTTCAGAAGATTATATACAAAATGGGTTAGGATTATATATAAATGGACAAAAATTTCCACATCAGTCCAAAGAGGTTGGCAGCGTTTCTGGACATCATTGACATGGCATAGTACAGTCTTAACTTGCATTTGAATATAACAAGTTTTTGAAAAAAATAACGTCTGACGTGTGATGTAAAAATATTTTAGTCTCTCTAATAAAGGCCATTGTTTGTATTTGTAGTGCTGGCCCAGTGGCATTTTTTTCCAGAAGTAATTAATTTTTAAGATGAACTAATGTAAATTCTGCTGTGTAGGTTGGTGCCTGTATTGTGAATCAAGAGAATAAGATTGTGGGTATCGGCTATAACGGAATGCCCAATGGCTGTGATGATGATCTCCTGCCCTGGTCTCGCTCTGCTGTTGACAAACTGGACACCAAATACCCATATGGTGAGTGACACCTTAACATTTGCTTATGTGTGTGATCTGATTTAGTTTAGTTTAGCTGTCGCCTCACAGCAACACTGTGCACTGTTAAGCAACACTGGAAATCTGCTTAGTGTTTATGAACAAAATTAGCCCTATTAATGTGAAGTATCCTAATGTGTTTGTCATTACACGTTTGTGTAAGTTGAGTCAAGACGTTTTCTATAACAAGTTCTAGAAATCAGTCCTACACACAAGGAAGGGTAAACGCTAACCATTTGAGGGTTATTTCTGACATGGCAGAAATATTGGTTGCTTGTCTTGCAGTTTGAGCACTCTCACAAACTGATTTTTTGAGGTACATGCAAAACACACAAACATGCACAACCATTGCCCTCAAAAAAGCTGACATTTTATGCGATGACAAGTTCAACTCGTAATTGTGAAAATTTGATACAATGATTGTTGTTATTTTATTTTTTCCCCACTTAAAAGGTTTTTCTGCTTTTGCTGTGACCATTTTTACACACATTAGCAGAGCTGCTGTAGCATGCTTTCTTAGCATTTTGCTTAGTATTCTGGCATGCAGTGTCATTTGTTGTTTTGCCTCAAACAGCTTTCTATGGAAATTGTCCATAGACAGAGCTGTCTGAAGTGGCTGCATTTTACGTGCAGTTTGAGCACCCATGTTGCAGCCTGTTAGTTGGACTGAGCATTTTTAATACAGTGTGAGAATATGAATCATAAGCATTGGCCTACATGGGCCATTCTACCAAATTAGTTGAAATTGCAGTCCCACAGCATTTAAAAAAATTGTGTTCAGACTTTTGTTATTTAAAAGGATTATGATTTGTTTAAACCCAAGGGAATACTTGTGATAGTAAAAACCTAAGTACATACAAAATCATCATCTATAAGATGTCAGAAGGTGGCTGTCCCTAACTGTCCGTAAGTTGACTTTTTTGTTTTTTTGATTTCTTTTAAAGTGAAGTTGAATGATTTTGATTAATCATGAGCTTAATTTTTAAATCAAAAAAGTTCATGCAAAAAAAGCGGTACCATTTTTTTCATGACTGTACTGAAACAGTTTTAGTCTGTAGGCAGAGCTTTATTTTAGCCACACCCCACATTTTAAAGCAGGAAGTGAGACTGCATTCCCTAATGGCCACATTTTGAATCTTAAAATCATTATGTAAGTAAGTAAGTAAAGTTTATTTATACAGCGCTTTTTACAACAGGTGTTGTCACAAATCAGCTTTACAAGGAAATCAGCATTACAAAAAGAAATCCGGGTCCAAGCCCCCATGAGCAAGCCAGTGGCGACAGTGGCAAGGAAAAACTCCCTAAGAGAAATAGGAAGAAACCTTGAGAGGAACCAAGACTCAGAAGGGGAACCCATCCTCCTCTGGTCGACACCGGATAGTAAACATTGTTAGTATAAAGTATTATAGTACAAAAACAGGGAAAGAGGTGGAGCAAACAATTAATTTGAATAGTTTAGTTCATGCAGCAGCAGCAGCATCAGTGGGGTCAGGTTGTGAGGGTGAGGTTTGCACGGCGAACAGTGGCACCCGATCAAGGCAGAAGAGGCAGCAGCATCAGAACGCACAGGATGGGCAGCTGTTCAACTTGGCAAAGGAAAGAATGGAAAAACACACAGAGTCAGTTCTGCAATGGGTGATTGATTTGATTAGTTTAAATGATTGATTAGTTCAAATGAATAATTTAGATTAGTTCATGTAGCAACAGCAGCAGTATCAGTGGGGTCAGGTTGTGAGGGTGAGGTTTGCACGGCGTTGTACAGCAGTAGGCTCAATGTTGGTAAGCCAGTCCAGAGGGCTGGCGAGCAGGGGCACCCAATCAAGGCAGAAGAGGCAGCAGCATCAGAACGCACAGGATGGGCAGCTGTTCAACTCGGCGAAGAAAAGAAAGGAAAACACACAGAGAGTCAGTTCTGTAATGGGTGACCGATCACAAATTACAGTGTTAGCAGAGACTCTGGCAGGTATAGAACTGACAGGGAAAACTAATTACCAAAGGCTTGACTATACAAGTAAGTTTTTAGCTTAGACTTAAACACTGAGACTGTGTCTGAGTCCCGAACATTAAAGACTATTCCAAAGCTGGGGGGCTTTGTATGAGAAACCTCTCCCCCCCTAATGTAACTTTATTAATTCTAGGTACTAATAGTAAGCCAACACCTTGTGATCTAAGTAGACGTGATGGTTCATAGTGAAAGAGAAGCTCACTCAGGTACTGAGGGGCGAGTCCGTTTAGTGCTTTGTAAGTCAGTAAGAGAATTTTATAATCAATCCGAAATTTAACTGGTAACCAGTGTAAGGTTGATAAAACTGGGCTGATATGGTCGAACTTTCTGGTTCTTGTAAGGACTCTGGCTGCAGTGTTCTGGACCAACTGAAGCTTGTTAAGGCTTTTGCTGGGACATCCAGCCAGCAGGGCATTACAGTAGTCTAGCCTTGAAGTAATAAATGCATGAACTAACTTTTCTGCATCCTGTAGAGAGAATGCATTTCTTAATTTAGCAATATTGCGGAGATGCAGGAAGGCTGTTCTAGTAATATTAATTATATGTGCGTCGAAGGACAGATCAGGGTCTATAATGACACCAAGGCTTTTTACAGATGAGCTTGATGCAACTGAGAAATTGTTAAGTTTAAGTGTAAAATCAGACAGTTTGTTTCTAGCTGCTTTTGGACCAAGAAGCAGAACCTCTGTTTTATCTGAGTTTAGAAGGAGAAAGTTACTCGACATCCAGTCCTTTATGTCTTTTATACAGTCTTCAATCTTGCTAAGTTTAATTTTATCATCTGGGTCGCTTGCTAAATATAACTGAGTGTCATCGGCATAGCAGTGGAAATTTATGCCATGTTTACTGATAATGGTGCCTAGTGGTAGCATATATAATGTGAATAATACAGGTCCTAAAACAGAGCCTTGTGGAACACCATACTTTACTTTTGTGAGAACAGATGATTCACCGTTTATATTAACAAACTGATAGCGATCAGTGAGGTAGGACCTGAACCAGGAAAGAGCTATTCCTGTTACCCCTACAAGGTTTTCTAGTCTGTCTAGTAAGATAGCGTGGTCTATTGTGTCAAATGCCGCACTAAGATCGAGGAGGACTAACAAGGACACATGATCTTGGTCAGAAAATAATAATAATAGATCATTTACAATTTTTACTAGTGCTGTTTCTGTACTATGATGTGGCCTAAAACCAGATTGAAATTTTTTTGTGTATTTGATTCCCATGCAAATAGGAGCTTAATTGTTTTGCTACAACTTTTTCCAAGATCTTTGATATAAAGGGGAGATTCGAGATGGGTCTATAATTTGATAGTTCGCATGGATCGAGGTTCGCTTTCTTAATCAGCGGTCTAATTACTGCTAGTTTAAGAGATTTTGGGATGTACCCAAGGCTAAGAGAAGAGTTTATTATTGACAGAATAGGCTTGGTTATTTCTGGCAAAATTTCCTTGAGTAAACCTGTAGGAATCGGATCTAACATACAAGTAGATGATTTTGCGGAAGAGACTATTTTAACTAATTCATTTTCTTGGAGTAAGGTAAATGATTCCAGCCTCTCTGCAGGGATTATAATATTTTCAAGGTTGAGGCTGGCATTATGGGGAAGCAGGTTTGTAGAGTTTAATTGTATATTCTGAATTTTCTGCCTAATTTTTTTCAATTTTATCACTAAAGAAGTTCACTAACTGCTTTGTTCTCTGTTAGTTTAGAGATTGTGCTGAAAAGTAATCTAGGATTATTCTTATTGTTTTCTGTGAGAGAGGAGAGATAGGCTGAGCGTGCTGTAGCAAGTGCTCTTCTATAGTCTATAAGGCTCTCCTTCCAGGCGTACTAGAACACTTCTAGCTTAGTCAGGTGCCATTTTCGCTCAAGTTGTCTGGCGGTCTGTTTTAAAGCCCCAGTGTGGTCATTATACCAAGTTTTTTCTGCCTTACTATTTTACTTTTTAAGTCGGCCGCTTAAACGAGGGCTATGTGCATAGCTGTAGCCTGGGGATGTGGCTTCATTTAAACTGAAGTATTCATCGGGTCTAATCCACGTTTCTGTGAGGCACAGAGCATCAAAACCGTGATCGGTAAAAATTTCATTTACAACAACGGCTTTAGGAGTAAGGGATCTTATATTAAGCAGTCTTAGTTTTAGACCAAAGGTGCTGTCAGTGCAAACTGGTATAACTGGTCTGATATTAATCAAGTTACTGAAGCAAACTTTTCGAGGCTTTTTGATGCTTTGTTTTATTCGGGGAACAGACACAGTCTCTATCGGGAGAAACCCGATGTAACCTTAAGAATTTCCATTACAGATATGCATTTTCTGCAATTCAGTAAACTTTTTTTTTGTCTGAGCTGTTTTTGAATAATGCTCTAAATTAGCAAAAAAAAAATTCTACTAAAACTATCACTATCACTATTTGGTAAAGTTTTGGTGGTGTTATGATTGAACATTCAATTTTGTTACTACATAAAACAAATCATCATTTGTTTTAATAAAATAAATAGAATTAAGAGTCATATAGAGTCATTCAGAGCAAAAAGGTTTCAGTCTAAAGTCCAAGCCAGTTAAGTCACTCTGACTTTGAATCATGTTGATAGAGTGTTCATTATGTGGTGGTCATGGAATTTATGGAGGTAAAGAAGCTTATAACCCACCGATTAACTTGCATGACATATCACACTTGCCTTGAAGTAATCTCAAAGTCCAAACTCTGACACTGAACCAGTTCAGTACAATGACTACTATTTTGATGCCAGCTTAAAGTTTTACCCTGTCATGAGTTTGAATCCCAGTGCTCCCAGGGCTCTGATAAATAAAAGTTCTCCAGCAGCATAACAATGCCTGCTGCTTTGTCCTCTAACAACATAATATCCAAAAGCACTGGAGTTTAATTGACTTTAGAAAAAAAGCCATTTCATTTAAGTTTTGTCTCCATAGCACATGCCCTGCCTGTCATCTCTTGTGGTTGTTCTTAAAAA